CTCCAACACCCAAGTCAACCTTTTCTTTATGGTCTCAAAACTGTCTTTGGACCAATCACACACTTTGTTGTAAATCTGGTTTCCATTTAAGGCAAGAACTCAAGAATCTCCTAGGGCCCAGGACCATGATGATTCGTAGCAATTCTGAAATAGTTATTAAAAACTGATCAAGTTCAATTACAGAGCATAAGCTAAATTCAAGAGCTGTGTTATGTACATTACTTAGAACCTAATAATTCACAATGGAAATTAAAGCCCTGGAAAGCTTATGAAGTAATCTCAGAACTAGGAAAATAGGATTCAGAGATAAGAGTGTGTTTGCCCAGCTAAATTCTATTTATTCAACAAACATTTATTGAGCTGTATGAAAAAGTAGTGAACAGAGATTGAAAGTTGTTGAAATTCTTTAAAAAAAAAAATTTTTTTTTTAATGTTTTATTTATTTCTAGGAGAGAGAGAGAGACAGCGTGAGCAGGGGAGGGTCAGAGAGAGAGGGAGTCACAGACTGAAACAGGCTCCAGGCTCTGAGCTGNGGGTCAGAGAGAGAGGGAGTCACAGACTGAAACAGGCTCCAGGCTCTGAGCTGGCAGTCAGCACAGAGCCCGATTCGGGGCTCGAACCCACGAACCGCGAGATCATGACCTAAGCGAAAGTCGGATGCCTAACCGACTAAGCCACCCAGGCGCCCCTAAAAATATTTTTTTTTAATGTTTATTTTTGAGAGACAGACAGAGTATGAGTGGGGGAGGGGCAAAGAGAGAGGGAGACACAGAATCCAAAGCAGGCTCTAGGCTCTAAGGTGTCAGCACAGAGCCTGACGCGGGGCTTGAACTCATGGACCATGAGATCATGGCCTGAGCCAAAGTCGGACGTTTAACCGAATGAGTCACCCAGGCACCCCAAAAGTTGTTGAAATTCTTATTATATAACCTATAGATATGGGTACATTATATTTACTTACCCATTAAACAACTAAGTCCACTACCATCAACTTGTATTAAGAGAATTTTGTGCTTGGTTAGATATTCACATCTTTTTGATTATCTTCTTTGCAGCATTGAGGTCAGAGAGATAATAAAGGCGAATAGAACTCAGTTTTCTATGTTTCAAAATGGAATGCCCGTTTGTACTATTTACCCTTCCAGAAACCACCACTGCAAGATTTAATTCAGCACTGGGCTGAAAAAAATGGTCTATTTTTTTTTTTAATGTTTTATTTATTTCTGAGAGAGAGAAAGAGACAGCGTGAGCAGGGGAGGGTCAGAGAGAGAAGGGAGACACAATCCAAAACAAGCTCCAGGCTCCAAGCTGGCAGTCAGCACAGAGCCTGACGCGGGGCTCAAACCCACAAACCGTGAACCGATGAACCATGGGATCATGACCTGAGCTGAAGTCGGAGGCTTAACAGACTGAGCCACCCAGACGCCCCATATTTTTCAACCATGTAAATCAGATCCCATCACTCTCTTGCCATCAAGATGTATTTGTTCTGAGTGGCAAAGAACTGTGACAGGTCTTCCTAGAGATTTAACTGGAAAACTAACTCCTCCAGGCAAAGCTTGCAGCAACCTGAATTTTAAAATCAACAGGCAGAAAACAATATAAACAGAAAGTTAGGAAGAGGACCACACTTAAACCCACAATCCTGATTTTTAAAAGCCACCTCCCCCACAAAACCTGATAATTTACCAACCCCAAAGTTACGTTTCCTTTGACTTCTTAGGCCTTTTGGTGCTATGGATCCTTTGTCAATCTGGTGAAAACTATGGACTTCTCTTGAGAATAATGCTCTAAAATTCATAAAATATACAGACAGCTACAAAAAGAAACCAATTTTACTGAAATACAGGGGCGCAGATTTAAGGTCTCCTACGCTCTTCTCGCCACGGTGAAAATGACAGAAGAAAATTGTGACGGCTACAGGAGGAAGAGAATCCCAAGGAGCCGGCACTCCGAGGTCCACCCCTGAGCACCCTCAAGCGGCAGCAGGGACATTCTGGGCGCCGAGACTCAGCCAACCCTAGGGGGCGTGTCTGACGATGCGCCGCGGAGGTAAAACGGACCCGGTCTGAGAAGAGGGGGGGTCTCGTATTCCCAGAACGCGCAAGGAGCCACGCTCCCCACGGCTCGTCCCACCCTCGCCTCACCTGTCCCTGCTGTCCCCAAGAGACGCTCCGGCACCCCTCGCAGGTCTTCATGGAGGCCGCGGAAGATCTCGTGAAGTTTCTCGAAATGCTCCGAGGAGGCAGCGGAGGTGGCCATGGCGCAGGGCGCGCTCGAGCGGCGGCCACCGAGATTTTGGGCACTGGGGCCGTTCCTGTCCCGGCGGTCAGCCACCCAGTCCCGCAGGCATCACGGCGACCGCCGCCACCACCGCTGGGGACGAGGCGCTTCCGGGGCCGCGGCGGGGTCCTCCCGAGCTGGAACGCCCACTCCCTTCTTGCCGTCACTGAGGGAGCGCCGGGCGCGAAAGCCTGACGGAAAGTCTGGTGGGCTGTCCACCTGGGCGATTCCTGGGAGGGTAGTGGCGCACCAGGGCTAGCGGAAGTCCTGAAGCCCTGGAAATACGCAGTTCAGGGTTGGAGAAAGCGCCACAGCGGAAGGGACTGTGGGGGGCCCCCGGGACGGGCAACGCGGCCGCCAGTCTCCAGGGCCCCGCCTCCCGGTGAGGGGCGGTCGGCTGCAGTGCATGCCGGGGGCTGTAGTTCGTCCCGGGAGCCACTCGGAGTCCTAAGTCACGCGCTGGCGGGGGCGGTGGTTCTGTCAGCGCCACAGCCCCAGTGGGTAGTGCCGGCAAGCAGTAGTTTGGTATCCGAAAGCGTCGGGAAGTCATCTTCGCTGTCGTCGCCCCGTTTGGCCGCTCTCACTTCCTCAGTTTGCGTCCCGACTAAACGTTAGCTTTCAGCCGTTGAGAGAGAGCTGGGCCAGGTTCCTGCTTGCTCTGCAACGGTTAAAAAACAAAAACAAAAACAACTTTTACTGGAGAGGTCAGGTGTCCAGGGCCATGTGCTTTCAGAAATAGTCTCCAGGCAGTGACTCCCCAGATACTCACGCAGCCTCTAGTGTCTGGGCTCGCCTAGTGTATTCATTCACTCAGCAGGTGTTTTTTAATGTTTATTTTTGAGAGAGGGAGAGGCAGAGCGTGGGTGGCACAGGGCCAAAGAGAGGGAGACACAGAAACCCAAGCAGGCTCCAGGCTCCCAGCTGTCAGCCCAGAGCCCAAAGCCTGCTCGAACTCCCGACAAGGAGATCATGACCTGAGTAGAAGTCGGATGCCTGACCCACTGAGCCACCCAAGTGCCCCTCAACAGGTATTTGTTTAATGTTAAGCATAGTCATTATGCCGGATCTGGGCATATGTTGGTGAATAAAAGATTCACTCTCTGTACTTGGTTATTTTTTAATGTGGTGAGCAAGGTGGATTCGGCTTCATCAGATCTCTTTCCCACTACGTGTAATGTGGTAACGATGACAAAGCCCTTTTTTCCAACATGGGTTTTCATGGTTCCATGACAGGGAATTTCTATTTTCAACTTATTTCATGATTTTCCTATCGAAGCCCTTTCTGAAATGTTTGCTTGGCAGCCCAGTATATAAAACTCCCCAAATATGTTAAAATATATATGACTGTTGGGCGGGGGGGAGGATTTGGTGATTCATATACCTCCTGGAACTTTATTTTTATCAGACTGATTCATGGCCCCTGATTCAACAAATGCGTTGAACTCTTAATGTTCATTGAGTATAGAGATAGCAAAATCTGAGGTTGTTAGTAGAAGTGTAATGAGCTAAGTCGCACAGCACTGTTATAGAAGGAGCAGGTGCAAAAAGGGGACATAATAGCATGGGATGGAAAAAAGAAATCTTTGAAAAGCATCATAAAAGCAGAAAATGGGTGGGGCGCCTGGGTGGCTTAGTCGGTTAGGCGTCCGACTTTCGCTTAGGTCATGATCTCGCAGTTCGTGGGTTCGAGCCCCGCGTCGGGCTCTGTGCTGACTGCCAGCTCAGAGCCTGGAGCCTGTTTCAGAGTCTGTGACTCCCTCTCTCTGTGACCCTCCCCTGCTCACGCTGTCTCTCTCTCTCTCCTAGAAATAAATAAAACATTAAAAAAAAGAAAAAAAAAGAAAAAAAGCAGAAAATGGGTGAATGAATAATCAAATTATCACACAACCAAAGTTAATGGCATTTGAATTGAGACTATACTATGGTTAGACTCTGGGACAAATTATCCTTAAAAATGAGAAATGACTGTATAAGCATAATTCATTAATGAAAAGCATTTTCTTCTTATAGCTAAACGTCCATTTGTTGTTGTCGTTGTGTGTTTTTTTTTTTTTTTTGGTTGTTGTTGACTCTAAAGTCTAATTCTTACAGCTTTTATTTAGGTAAGTAAAAACATGACAAATAATTTTTAAAAATTTGTCATTGACAGTTCAACATAAATTAAGTAAAATAATTGTTACGCTACTGAACTATTATTAAAAATTTCCAATTTTTCCATAAAATGACCATTTCTAAATATATACCCTGATGGTCAAAACACATTCAACAAAAGAATATTCATTTACAAATATGAGAAGACTGTGGTCCTATAACTCTTTACCCCACCAAAGCGAGTACGTAATTGTCAGTCCAAGAAAATCAAAGTCTATTAGAATAACATATTCTGAATGAGTGATAACATTACTAATTCCTCCAATTTCCTTTGGCAGGATTAATTTCAATAAAAGTTCTCCAAATTAAATGTAGATTTTTAGCAAAAAGACATTTTAACCTTGTTAAGATAATGCAAGGAAATGCCCTGAAAGATTACTGTATTGACTATAAATTACTAATAGCAGTCCTTAGGATAATTTCACTAAATAAAGAATTGGGGGTTTTATTTTGGGTCTTTTTCTGCCACATAGATTGATTGGTGCTTGTTAAGACAGTGCAATATCAGTCTTGCTCATTCAGGTGCTTCCCCTCAATTCTTCCATAGCTACATATTACCATCTTTAGGTTTTTTGTTTTTTTTTTTTTTTTAATCCTTAACTAGTCCCTTTACTGCATGCATTATCTTCCAGGATTTTTCTCTGTTTTAGACTTCTTCCCTGCCACCCATATGCTTCTGGGTAAGTAGTTAACCACATATACAGAACTGACTTTCCTTTGCAGGTCTACTCATTTGTATCAAAGACTGGATGACACTGTTTGCTCCATCTTTGAACATTTGCCTGCACCAGGGTCGTTTAATACTCTTCCTTTGTAGTTATTTTGAATTTTGTGAAAATAAGCCCAACTGTGTCACTACATGAGAACACAAAGATAAGTTCAGTGACAATCACCAAATAGCCTTTTTCTTCTTCTGGTTTTCTAAGAGAAACTAAGGCACAAAAAGGCCTCCATGGGTCTGTGGTCAGTAACTAAAGTCAAGTAGATGGTCCATCTTCCCATACTGCTCCTTTCTTTACCCACTTGCTGGACTGAGAAACTAAGAAAATGACAGTTTAAACTTGATTTTTATTTCTGCCTTCCCCCGAATTTCTGCCATCCTCCAAACCCCACAAACTTCTTAGAAAAGGAAGCTCTTCTCTGTGGTCTAGATATTGGAAAGTCTTAATAGCAGTGGCTTTAGGTTGTCAAGAGATAAAGCCAGGCCATAATCCAGATTTAGTTAAGAGTTTTCTGAAAGAATCCAGATGTTGGCATATGATGGTTTTCTTAATAGGTGAGGGGTGAGCCCTGCTCTTGAGCCAAGCCACTGTGACTCAGAGTTGAGCTGAGGCTGCAGTGTGGCCCTCTTGAAATGAAGGTTGGATGGTGGTTGGGAGGTACTGTTTGTGAACAAAGAGAGTAGAAACTAATCCTAACTACCATAAATTGACCTTGCCATAGCTAAGATTCTCCTAGGTAGTAGGTTTCAGACAGCAAATATCAGCTTCCAGGTCATCTGAAGATCTTATCCTATGATATCTCTTGTAACTCTGGCAGTAACAAGGGCAAAGTAAATCTGAAGTAATGCAAGGTGTTTTGATCAATCTGGCAATGTACTCTGGGCTTCTGTCAGACATCAAGTAGGAAAGGCTGGAAGATTTGTTTTCTTTGCACTGAATAGTTTGGTCACGATGAAGGAGAATCATTTTGGCAGGGAGTACTGAGTAGTCTGCTGTAGACTTGAGTCCAACGGCTGCCACCTGTTAGTTCATGGGGATGCCCAGCAGGTCACAACTGACGTCCCATAGCCGTCTTGCTATTGTCTCATTCCGAGCCTGGGCAGAGACCCATGCCACACTGCAGTCACTGGAAGTGAAAGAGAAAGGCTTAAAACATAGGGTTTAAAAATAGAGTCTGTTCTCTGCCTGGAACAAGGAATGTGACAGAAAAACAACCCAGGGATGACATGCCCTCTATGCACTTCATAGGGCCAGTCTTTGTCTTATCTCTTCATTCTCCAATTCTTACCCGAGAGAAAATGTAATTACCATTTAGATCTCCTCACTAGATTACCTCTGATCAGAATGCTCTGCTTAATAATGCATAGCAGTTAATCTTTATATTTAGCTGTATCTGTATGTGTGTGTGTATAATGTATATATATAAATGTTTATTTGTTTTGAGAGAGAGAGCAGGGGAGGTGAGGAGAAAGAAAGAATCCCAATCAGAATTCTCACCACCAGCACAGAGCCCAACACAGGGCTTGAACCCATGAACTGTGAGAGCATGACCTGAGCTGAAATCAAGAGCCGGATGTTCAACCAACTGAGCCACCCAGATGCCCCTGTATGTATATATATATATATATATTTTTTTAATGTTTTATTTATTTCTAGGAGAGAGAGACAGCGTGAGCAGGGGAGGGTCAGAGAGAGAGGGAGTCACAGACTGAAACAGGCTCCAGGCTCCGAGCTGGCAGTCAGCACAGAGCCCGACGCGGGGCCCGAACCCACGAACCGCGAGATCATGACCTAAGCGAAAGTCGGACGCTTAACCGACTAAGCCACCCAGGCGCCCCCCCTGTATGTATATATTTAACTATAATATCTGTGCCTGCCTGATACCTGTCTATGTCCAGCTTGTTCACACAGAACCTTGTATAGTGTCATGTTGCTGAAATTACATTGGTTACAGATGCTTGGAGTAGGGGGAAAACACCCCCAAAGCTTATTATTTCTGGTCTACCAGCAATTATAACTGTTTTTAAATAACAAGTAAAGTTAGCTTCATAAACAATGAAGACAGAAGATGATAGCATAAAAGAAATATAAGAATAAACGGGTATTTCATATACCTTCTCTTCATTGCTGTAATCCCAATTATTTTAAGTCCCCACTAAATACAGGAGGGAGACAGGGTGCCTGGATAGCTCAGTGGGTTAAGCATCTGACCCTTGATTTCGGCTCAGGTCATGATCTCACAGTTGTGGGACTGACCTCCACATTGGGCTGTACACTAAGCATGGAACCTGCTTAAGATTCTCCCTCCTTCTCTCTCTCTGTCCCTCTCCCCGACTCGCATTATCTCTCTCTCAAAAAATATAAACATCTAAACAAATAAATGCAGGAGGGATATTCAAACTCTGCACTTCACAGAAATTTTCTCAAACACTTCTCATTTAAAAAAATGTTTTAAATTTTTTAACATTTATTTATTTTTGAGAGACAGAGAGAGACAGAGCATGAGTTGGGGAGGGGGAGAGACAGAGAAAGGGAGACACAGAATTCGAAGCAGGCTCCAGGCTCTAAGTTGTCAGCACAGAGTTCGACGCAGGGCTCAAATCTATGAACCATGAAATTATGACCTGAGCTAAAGTCAGATGCTTAACTGGCTGAGCCATCCAGGCACCCCTTAAAAAGTTTTTTTAAATATTTATTTATTTTTGAGAGAGACAGAGTACAAGTGGGGGGAGGAGCAGTGAGAGAGGGAGACACAGAATCTGAAGCAGGCTCCAGGCTCTGAGCTGTTGGCACAGAGCCTGACGTGGGGCTCGAACCCACAAACCGTGAGATCATGACCACAGCCAAAGTCAGATGCTTCACCAACTGAGCCACCCAGGTGCCCCCTTTTACTTATTTTTATATTCGCTGCATCTAGTACACAGCAGGTATTCAATAAAGTGATTGAGTAAATGGACTGCAATCTTTTAAGTTACATAAGAAGCAGTTTTTAAAATTATACTATTTTGGAGCACTGGGTGGCTCAGTTGGTTAAGCATCTGACTTTGGCTCAGGTCATGATCTGGTAGTCCATGAGTTGAGCCCGGCATCAGGCTCTGTGCTGAGAGCTCAGAGCCTGGAGCCTGCTTCAGATTCTGTCTCCCTCTCTCTCTGCCCTTCCCCTGCTCATGCTCTGTCTCTCTCTGTCTCTCAAAAATAAATATTAAAAAACAATTTTTTAAAAAAATTATACTATTTTAAGAAAACTGCTTCCAGGACATTCTAAACAAATTCTGAAGATGAAAAGGAAAGTTGGAAAATCTAAAATAAGTACATGAAGGAAACTCCAAACACTATGTCCGTCAAGACGGTGCTAATCAAAGAGTGGGTTACGGACTAGCAGGATTCATCATCTGGAAGGAAGCTTGTTAGAAATGCCAGTTGTCAGGCCCCATCCAAACCTGCTGAATCAGAATAGGGTTGAAGCCCAGTTATCTGTTTTCAGCGGCTTCCTCTGAAATGCATGGAATTTTGAGAAACACTGCTTCAAGATATCTTCACATTTACAAAACAAGCCTTCTTAGTACCTCTGTTTAAGGGAACTCACCAGCATGACCAGTACAACCTGCCATTGTTGAGTAAAAAGCCCATCACTGAGAATCAAAAGGCTTTGTATGACTGAGTTGGCCTCTGTAAGCCTCTGAAGGCTTTGTGTATGCCATATGTTCTTTCCAAGGTTACAATGAAGAGCAAATGACACAATGGACACAATGGAAAGTGCTGAGTGTCATAAGCTGTGACATGCTGTAAAATGTATTCAAATACCACAGTAAAAGCTACTTAAGTGTGGTTATGGTGCCAGCATGGTTATCATGCTGATATTTCCAGTAGGATTCTGGGCAGTATCAATCAGTATATGTAAAAAACCAATTTCAAAACTTATTACAAAGGCTATTCTACTGGCCTAAGGATAGACATAGAAATGAATAGAAAAAATTAAAAAGTTAGAAGTACTCTTACATTTGTGGCCAACTGATTTTTTTTTAGAAAATAAATTCTTTATAATGCTAATAGTTGTGATACAAATCTTGATAATGACAGGACATTAAAAAAAAGTATAAACCCATAATTTATTATAATATAGATTTTTTTTTTTACTTCCATGTTTTTATTTTTCACTTCCATGCTGACAGACTAATGGTCTGATTTAAACTGTGGTTTCTTGATAAATTGCCTCTGTTTAGATCTAGTTTTTTTTTTCTTTCATAGTTTATTCTCAAGTTGGTTTCCATATAACACCCGGTGCTCATCCCAACAAGTGCCCTCCTCTATGCCCCATCACCTCCCTTCCCCTCTCCCCCACCATCATCATCAGCCCTCAGCTTGTTCTCAGTATTCAGGAGTCTCTCATGGTTTGCCTCCCTCCCTCTCCCCAACTATTTTTCCCCTTCTCCTCTCCCATGGTCCTCCGTTAAGTTTCTCATAATCCATCTATAAGTGAAAACATACGGTATCTGTCTTTCTCTGCCTGACTTATTTCGCTCAGCATAACACCCTCAAGTTCCATCCACGTTGCTACAAATGGCCAGGTTTCATTCTTTCTCATTGCCATGTAGTATTCCATTGTATAAATAAACCACATCTTCTTGACCCATCTGTCCGTTGATGGACACTTAGGCTCTTTCCATGATTTGGCTATTGTTGAAAGTGCTGCTATGAACATCGGGGTACATGTGCCCCTCTGCATCAGCACTCCTGTATCCCTTGGGTAAACTAGCAGTGATATTATTAGGTCCTAGGGGAGTTCTACTGTTAATTTTTGAGGAACCTACACTGTTTTCCAGAGTGGCTGCACCAGCTTACATTCCCACCAACCGTGTAGGAGGGTGCCCATTTCTCCACGTCCTTGCCAGCATCTATAGTCTCCTGATTTGTTCATTTTAGCCACTCTGACCAGCGTGAGATGGTATCTCAGTATGGTTTTGATCTGCATTTCCCTGATGATGAGGGACGCTGAGCATCGTTTCATGTGTCTGTTGGCTACCTGGATGTCCTCTTTGGAGAAGTGTCTGTTCATTTCTTCTGCCCATTTCTTCACTGGATTATTTGTTTTTCGGGTGTGGAGTTTGGTGAAGATTCTGGATACTAGACCTTTACCTGATATGTCGTTTGCAATATCGTTTGCAATGAAAAACTATCTTTTCCCATTCTGTCAGTTGCCTATTAGTTTTATTGATGGTTTCCTTTGCCATGCAGAAGCTTTTTATCTTGATGAGGTCTCAATAGTCCATTTTTGCTCTTGATTCCCTTGCCTTTGGGGATGTGTCAAGTAAGAAATGGCTGCAGTTTAAGTCAAGGAGGTCATTTCTTGCTTTCTCCTCTAGGGTTTTGATGGTTTCCTGTCTCACATTCAGGTCCTTTATCCACTTTGAGTTTATTTTTGTGTATGGTGTGAGAAAAGTGGTCTAGTTTCATTCTTCTGCATGTTGCTGTCCAGTTCTCCCAACACCATCTGTTAAAGAGGCTGTATTTTTCCATTGGATACCCTTTCCCACTTTGTCAAAGATTAGTTGTATGGCCAACTGATTTTTGATAAATCTGTTATGGACTGAATTATGTCCCCCAAAATCCATATGTTTAATCCCTAAATCTCCAAGGTGATTATATGTGGAGGAAGGGCTTTTAAGGAGATAATTAAGGTTAACTAAGGTCATAAAGGTAGGGCCCTAATTTAATAAGACTAGTGTCCTTATAAGAGGAGACACTGGGAGTGTGCACACACAGAGTAAAAGTCATCTGAGGACACAGCAAGAAGGCAACCCTCTGCAAGCCAGGAAGAGACCAGAAATCAACCTTGCTGGCACCTTGATCTTTTTTTTTTTTTTTTTTTTTTTTTTTGGAGTTTTGGTGATGACTTATTGAGATAGTTTAGGTAAAGAGCACTGTGTTCAAATTCAATAATTATCTGCCATAATCTTAGTTCTTTTAGGCAGGGCAGAGGGTTAAGAGTGAACATTTATTGTCTATCACATTCCAGCCTCTTTACCAGGCACATGCATAGATTACTTCATTTGAATTTTCATTTTCATTTCCTATAGGTTTTCATAAAAGTTATCCTCTTAAGGAATGTAACAATTCTAGGCCATT